AATCAGTTCTGTACCTCTTTTAAGGGTTGGATGTTTCTAATCTACATGTATAGCCAATGTCTGTATGCAGAGCCCCACTGGCTGGCATCTGTTACAAACACTAAAACTCCACTGGGAAGTACTTTATAAACATCTCTTTAGTGTAAAGATAAATAAATAATGAGGAGGAGAAATAAATACCAGCAAATTTCATGCATCTAAGGAAGTCCAGGTGTGAGACATATAAGTTCTGCAGTAAGACCTGCAAGTTAGTACGGTATGATGGAGGCCTTTCTTCTTCAACATGAAATTTTAGTTGGGGAGAAAAAAATTTAAGGTTATAAAGTAAACAGTTTTTTGACAGCCATCTTGGAAGATGTTAAATGAATGCCAGTAGCTTAGAGGCTCTTTCTTTGCTCCCTACATGTATTAGAATTTAGAATTTGTAGATGACTTTTATGATTTCATATATATGAGAATTTTTCTTTTGTTCTTAAAAGGGAGGTAATAAATATGGGGGAACATGACAAAGTAATGAATAATACAGAGAAATTACATCAGGAACTGTAGGAATTCCAGGTAATTGCCATCCAGAGAATGACAGAAATATCCTTGGAAAAAAACAAACAAAAAGAAACAAACCTAGATGGAAGAAGACACAAGTATTGTTTAGAGAAGTATCAGAGATACAACTTCCAGTTGTGTCCTTCCTAGAGAAATCTTTGTGGAAATGCTAAGGTTAAAAGAGTATCTCAGTAAATTTGCTGATTCCAGGCAAAATCAGACTGGTGTTAAAAAAAAAAAATCTCAATCAGATTTTTAAAAATCTATTTTTAAATGGTTTTTTAGACAGTCAGATGTGTTTAGTTGTAAGGCTTCACTGTAGCAGGGAGTCAGATGAGAAACGTGATTTGTCACATTTGTCAATCCAAATGCGAGTTTGGATTCTGCCCTATCACAGAAATTTAAAATTTTTCTCTTTAAAAAAGTATTAAAAAAATACGAATTATTTGTTCTCTTACTCCGAGAAAGCTGTTAATGGTAGGAAGTGAGGTTGCAATGAAGCTGTTTAATCAAATGATGCAATTAAAGATGTTTAGCAGGTACAGAGATACCAAACAAGAAGGAAGTAAGTTGGAACTGAAGGTGAACTTGCTATTGTAATTATTACATATAGGTAAGATTTGTGTGAATGTAGAATGCTGCATGATGAAAAACCAATTTTCATGGCTTGAACTTGCATTATAAAATTCTGGGGGAGGCAATCTCTCACCAGCATCTCTGAGTGGCTGCAGCTGGGTACCGGGTTGCCATGGTAACAGATGAAGTCTTGCCTGGTTGAACATCCTCTAAGCACAATGGTATTTTCAGTCTAGGGCTTTAAATAAGACTTATCATCTTTGCTTCTTTGTTTGCATGAATTATCTGCCCATATATATGTATGTGCCTCTCTGTTGCCCCTTGAAGAAGGCTTCCAGTGGAAACTGGACTCAGTTACTGTCCTCTGCAGTGGTGGCAAAAGTGATTGAGCCCCTATATTTCTGTTTAAATGATCTTGGGAAGGAAGGGAAAGTGCCACTTGGTGACAAAACATTGTACAGGAAATAACATCAGTCACATTTTTTGAATGAACTTTATATTTGAATGTGACTGCTCACTTGTGAGGAATGGGACAATATTGAAGATAAACCTTTTGGTAGGTGATGCAAGAGAGTGAGAGGTAAGCCCGTGGCAGTGCTGAAATGTGAAACTTGTGAAGGGTTAAACCTCTGAAGAGGAGATCTTACATCATGCATGAAAGATTTTCTCAGGCTTTGCTTCTCAGGCTTCGTGCATGCTCTGTGTATACAATTGCAATATTAAGTAGAGAGAGGCCAGGCTGACCTTTGCCAAAAAAAGAGGTTGTGATTTGTAGGAGTTTCTTGCAGCAGTGTTTCGTTTCTGAGAAGCAAACCTCAACCTAGAGCCCCAATATTCATGTGCTAGTATTCATTTCCATTTTAATATGTTTTTGTTACTATTCCTGATGCCTTGTATGTCCTTTTACCACTTCTGCTTGAGCTTTTCCTCCACAGCATCCAGTTGTCTGTCAGTGTTTACACAATAGCCCATCTGGGGTCTTGAGTCCAGCTTCAGGGAGCAGGTACAGGGCGATGTGACAGTACTGTGATTCCAAATGTGTGAGATACCAAAACTAGCAACATTCCCACCTGTCAATATTGCACCATAATGTGGTATCTGTGACCACAGTCTTGCCTTATCCTGTACTGTGCGTGCTTTGAGACATAATCTGGTCCTTCTCTGTGCCATTTGACCCTATTGGGCCTCTGCCTTCCCTTAATCCACCTTTTTCTCCAGTTACATGTTTGTGATGAAGGAGAGGAGGAGCTAGAGATTGTCTGTATTCCCCATCTTTGTCAGCAATTATCTGTGTAAGTTTTCCATAAAACTGTGTACAAGAACAGAGCTATCATGCAGGTGAGAGAAGGAGGTGGACCATCAGCCCTTGAAAAGAAATGGTCAAGTGGTGCTTAGGTTGGGAACCCTCTAGACTGCAATTATGGCATCATGCTCCAAGGACACATCCCTCTGCCTACAGGGATCTGATCTACTAGAGAATTGGCATAAGGCAGCGAGATCTTAATGAACCTGATCCTCCCCTTAGCACTTGGTTGGATTTTTATATATTTGCATCAGGAAAGAGTAAACTGTTATCCATCTCTAACGGGTGCATCTGCAAATCTTTGGGGTAGGGATGCAGGGTGGGGGAAGGTGACACTTGCTACAAAATAAACAGTGGGGAGTAGATAGTAGGTTGATGCAGTAAGGTGCATGAAAGGTACATAAGGAAACAAGGAAATGATATTTGGGTGGACCACTGAGCATCAGCTGTTTTTCAGCTGAGTTTAGAGTTATCCTTTCACAAGCTTCTCTGTTTATTCAGCTCCTGGGAATAAACTGCCTCTGTTCCCAGATGTAGTGAAATGTTTATTCATTAAATTTTAATAAAGAAAGTCAAATCTCATATTCCTTGATCAGTGTTGGTAACTGAATACTAGTAATTGATTAGTCAATATCTGTTAGCATGATAAGCCAATGGAAGCCTGAGGTGACAACAGCTTTCAGATTATGTATTCATTCTGTAATTCTCTCCCAACTGATGAAAAATTTGTCTTTTTAAAAGAGAAACTTGTTTCTTTTTTTCTTTTAATTTTCCTTTAACTGGTAAGGTGTTTTGTTGTCTTATTTTTCTTTCAGGAGCCAATCTCTTTTTGCAGGTTGTTTGCAGGGATGGTCTGTATTTGTGTAACATGACTGTTTGCTGTATCTTTTTCTTCCTTGATATCTTCAAATATTTGTGAGTGTAGTCAAGGCCATTGATCCAGCCAGATGTTTTTGCGATGTAATTTCCTTAATTAGGAAGTATGGAAGGACCTCTATCAATGTCATTACTGGTTTTCTCACTAACACTTGTGAAAACCCAGGATAAATAATTCCATGAAGCTAGAAATAAAATCAGGACAGTTGACCTTTTAGTGGAAACATCTGCTGGACCTGGTTCTTCTACTCCCACGTCACTAGTTGCTGCAGAACATCCTGGTCATCACCATCATCATTAATACTCTATCTAGGGCTGATGTTTGTTCTTCATTATCATTTAATTCAGTCCTGCCATGCTAGCTTTGGCTGTCTGTTTTTCTTGCCAGCACTTTTGCTATTCCATGGCTGCCTTATGCTTGGAACAATTTGCTTGGACAGCTCCTTCTCAAAAACTAAGTGTACTAGGACACAGAATGGAAGCTGATTGCCTTCTGATGGTGACTAGGCAGAGAGCCAGAAAGGATAGCTAAGTTATGTTATGTGAGTGTGGCTTCTAGCCTGGCTTGTCCTGAACTGTATTCAACACATCCTATCAGTCCAAGAGGATGATGCAGCTCCCTAGAATATAACTCTTGTTGTCCCGCCAGAAAATCACTCACATGTGGACAAAGTAAGAACCCCAGTTTGTACAAATCTCAGTTTGTGTTTTGAAGTAAAAGGCAGACATCATCATAAGAAATTGAGAGGTTGCATACTGTATTCCCTTCATGTTGTGCACCCTTTCTAGTTCCCTTCATTCCAGTAGTGTCTTGACACACTTGCCGCAGTACTTGATGCTAATATTTTCCTCTGCAATTATGGGGATTTATGGCATCAGAACTAAAATGAGATGTTCCCTCCTACATTCCCATTGTTCCCTCTCTTGGTGTCTCAGCTTCAAGAGTTGCAAGATGGAGATAAAACTGTATGAAGAAAATGGCTGAGGAATGAAATTTTTGAGGTAGATTTACCCGTACATAAGTGCCTGTTATGTCTCTTCTGAATCAGACCATGCGCTCTTCTGGAGAAGAAACCTGTGAACTGACTGTGTGGGAACTTTGCTAATGTGCATCAAAATATTCAGAGCTGGAAAGCAAACACATACAGCAAGCTTCAGGAAAACTTCTGAAATTTAGGACAGTCCTAATAAAACTCCACTTCTTTTTTTGTTTGTGTTATAAAAGATGATAGGCTGATGTTAGAAAACAGAAATTTAGGAAAGAAAAAATTGCAGCCAAATTCTCACCTGGCTGAAGAACTGTCACAACAAGTGCTGGTGTATGCATCAGAAAAGCTGAGTATGTGGTGTAAAAGGTGCCCAGCACATGTAAAATTTGACCACGATTTTCTTAAACATATGGTTTCAATTCCATTTCATGATTATTGTTTTGATTGGGATTTGTTTGGGCTTTGGGGTGTTAGTTTTCTTTGTTTGATTGGGTTTTTTGTTGTTTTGGTTTTATTTGTTGTTTTGTTTTTTTGTCTGTTGTTTTTGGGGGGGCTTTTTGGTTATTCCATCTTCATTTCACCCCCTGGCAAAGTGTTTGAATGAAATATTCAGGATTTGGATGGGCAGTTGTGTGAGTTTACGTGTAAAGTCACAAAAGCCATGGGGTGCATGTACAGAAGTATTGTCTAATTGTTTTTCTTTTATCTTTTAGGTCTCTCAGCAGCCAAACTGCTGACTGAGTCAGGCTTGAATGTGGTGTTGCTGGAAGCCAATGACAGGGTTGGTGGAAGAACTTTCACTGTAAGGGTAATTATCTCCAAACCCATTTATATTACATATGCGTAAAGTATATATCATATGTACATGTAGTATACACATATATGATGTATGTATATATATGTATACTACAGTATATATATGAGTAATGTACATAAATGTATTTGTCTTTACAGCTAGAGCACCTACTTGAGGGAAAATTTCTAGAGCAGTAGCAGGTGGGAAATTTACTGATGTTGTACCAGCAAGATAGGGAAAGACTGGCATGATGGTGGGGACAGAATACTTCCATGTGATCTGCAGGCTCTGGAGTCATCAGTTCTTTCCTCTGGGAAAATGAACATTACTAGCTAAGTTTCAAAATAATTTGCCAGAGAGAGGCACTGGAGAAATCTCTATGAGAGAAACACCTTTAAGGCCAACCACACCGTGAAGGGCCTTCAGCAAAACCGTAACAAGCAATGTGAGGCATCATGTAGGCTAGAGGAATGGCAAGGGTAGCTGGGAACTAGTACCAGTATGACTTACTTCACTTCTTTACTTTCTGCCCTAGGGTTACCTGAGAGACCCCCTTCCTCTCTGCTCATTAGAATATCTTACCTGTGCTCCTTCCTAGTATGGTCTGTTTTGAACTAGTTGTTGCTCTGATGCCTGAGTAGGACCTGCACAAATTTCTCTGATCCTCTTCTTCTTTCTCTGCCTGTCAGACTCTTTCCTGTCATTTTTGTTAAGGCTGTAATGTGTCGTGGTTTAACCAATGCCAGACAGCTTTCACTCACTCACTCCCCCCCTTTCTTGCCCTCCCCTATTCTCGGAGGGACGGAGAGGAGAATCGAAAAGAATGCAACTCCCATGGGTTGAGATAAGAACAGTTTAGTAACTAAGGTATAACACAAATCACTACTACTGCCACCAATAATAGTAATGATAAAGGAAACAACAAGGGAAGAGAATACAACACCCCATCACCAGGCGACCGATAACTTGCCCCCCCCAGCCCGACCAAGCACCGACCGATACCTCCTCCAACCCTGCAGTCCAACTAGCCCTTCCGGCTAACTCCCAGTTCCCTCCTGGGCATGACGTGCTGTGGTATGGAATACCTCTTTGGTCAGTTTGGGTCAGGTGTCCTGTCTCTGCTTCCTCCCAGCTTCCCTCCTCCCTGGCAGAGCATGAGGCCCACAAAGTCCTTGGCCAAACCAAAACATCATTGTTTTTCAGCTCTGTTCCCAGCTGAAAGTCAAAACACAGCACTGCACCAGCTACCAAGAAAGAGATAAATGACTGCCACTGCTAAACCCAGGACAAATGTAACATCAGGCCAACATGTAATGTAACATCAGGCCAAGATGTTTATGATCCTTACCCAAGATTCTCAGTTATTGCCACACCAGGACTCTACCAAAGGATTAAAGTTTTCCATGGGGAGAGGGATCTTGCCAAAATGCTCTGGCAGTGTTTAATTTAAAGAATTGTTTTGGATTGCTCTTTTAACTTGTGTGCTATTTACAAAGGGCTTATCTTTTTTCTTTTTCCTTTTTTTTTTTTTTTCTAATCCTTCCCCCTCCTTTTTTGTCACTTCTTGTGTGTTGTCTGTGATAAACTAGAATAAGCAAGTTAAATATGTGGACCTTGGAGGAGCTTATGTGGGACCAACACAAAATCGTCTCCTGCGGTTATCTAAAGAATTAGGAATAGAGACGTATAAAGTGAATGAAGTGGAGCACCTGATACATCACGTCAAGGTAAGACGCTCTCAAGCATGCTGCTGAAAACAGGCAACTTGTAGTGATCTCCTTCCTCATTGCTTTTCATCCATGCCACAGTGGAGCATACATATTTAAGTATGCATTGAAAAGATTCTGTACAATGAGGGTGGTAAAATACTTGTACAGGTTTCCCAGAGAGGTGGTAAATGCTCCATCCCTTGAGACATTCAAGGCCAGGTTGGATGTGGTTCTGGGCTGCCTGATCTAGGTGAAGATGTCTCTGCTTATTGCAAGGGGTTGGACTAGATAACCTCTGAAGATCTCTTCCAACCCAAACTATTCTATGGCTCTATGACTCTACGTTGGTAATGAAGAACTCATATAGATTAATATATACATGCACCTCTACGCATGTACCCTGTAGACACGTCCTGTTTGCTGATGCCTTGGTTCAGGTCTGAGCTCTTATTTAAAGATTTCAAAAATATTAACTGTTTATGAACAGTACAACTGGGGCTCTTCTGTACAGGTTAGCTCTCAAACATACTGCCTGAGGTTCCTGAAAGTCCATTTCAGAAGTCCGGAAAGTGTCTTTATTCAAGCTGAATGTTTCTCAGGATGTGCTTCCTAAACCAGTAACAAGTACTATGCTTACTGAAAAGAAGCATGAGAGTTTAAGTCTGTTTTTGCTGATGGGGAACATCATGCAGAGTAGGAAAAGGTATTGTGATAGTAATTGCAAAAGGCTACTGGAGGCAAGCAGTCTTGTGGAGGCAGAGCTAAACAATCTGTTTGTGATCTGAAACAGGACAGCTGTGGTGGAGCTGTTAAAAAGCCCACTAATTCTCAGCATTAGTACTGTACTTTCTCCAAAAGAGCATCCTTTCTCCTTTTCTGATATAGAACAGTGTTGCATTCCCTCAGAAGGGAAACTTTCTAAGTTAGTCCTGAGGAAATTAACATTGAGTTTCCTTCTCTGCTCTCGTGAGACCTCACTTGGAGTACTGTGTGAAGTTCTGGTGTCCTCAACATAAAAAGGACATGGAACTCTTGGAACAAGTCCAGAGGAGGGCCACGAGGGTGATCAGGGGACTGGAGCACCTCCTGTATGAAGATAGGCTGAGAAAGCTGGGGTTGTTCAGCCTGGAGAAGAGAAGGCTGCACGGAGACCTCATAGCAGCCTTCCAGTATCTGAAAGGGCGTTATAGGGATGCTGGGGATGGACTCTTCATTAGAGACTGTAGTGATAGGACAAGGGGTAGTGAGTTCAAACTTAAACAGGAGAAGTTTATATTGGATATAAGGAAGAAGATCTTTACCGTAAAGTTGGTGAGGCACTGGAATGGGTTTCCCAGGGAAGCTGTGAATGCTCCATCCCTGGCAGTGATCGAGGCCAGGTTGGACAGAGCCTTGGGTGACATGGTTTAGTGTGAGGTGTCCCTGCCCATGGCAGGGGGGTTGGAACTAGATGATCTTAAGGTCTTTTCCAACCCTAACTATTCCATGGTTCTATGATTATATGCTTGTGAAAAGCCATTGTGCAATGACTGTCAAAATATTTGCCAGATGGTAGTTGTTGTTTGATCAAAGGTTAAAGAAAACACAGACAGATTTAAAAATAGCAATAGAGAAAAGATGTTCTGTCATATGTTTTCCAGTATTTTTTCCACTCAATTGTTATGAAAAAGATGTTCTCAAAGTGGTTTGCTCTGCTGACTGTCCATAATTACTTCTTCTGTGGTAGAACTGGTGGTACATCCATGCTGTTCTATTTTGTATACCTTTGATACCACCCTCAAAGCCAGATTTTTTGCTTGTTCACACTATTTAGCCTTCAGAGTCTTCTCAGTAGCAATAGGAGGTCATGCCACGAGGGAAAACCTCAGTGGTAGAAGACAATTGACATGGCCAGTCAGTGTGACCAGCTTTCAGTACAACCTTACTATCCTAGCATGGGGGCAATCCAAAATGCTATCAGAAGTCACTGAAGCCAAAAGTGAAGGTGACGTGTGGGCCTGCCTTATTTTCAGCAGTCAGTCAAGCATGTTGCTTGTTTGGTAAGCCAGACATCTCTTTTAGGATCTCTAGGAGACAGCTTGTGGGGAAATACTGGTATTACTATGCTGGTTGAAATAGTATTTTGTTTTGCTGTAGGCATTTACAGTGAGGAAAATGGAGAATGCCACAGGAGTTTGGGCTTTTGCCAAGGGCAATCTGTCCTTCCATTGACCACAGGTGTCTTACTGAATGAGTTGCCATAGGTGGGGAGTCAAGGCTCTCATCTTTCCTCTCTACCCAGCACTGATAGGACTTGCTGGCATTCAGGGTCATATCTAAGGCTGGGAGAGAGGGGCATGCCTGTATGTTGGGTATATAAAGGGCCTTGAACTGGGATACTAAGGCATTAGGGGATAAGTCCAGGGAATGCAGTAATGTGACTTGTATCCAGAAATCCAGAGGTAGGTGAAACCACTCTGCTCCTGGAGGCGTTCAGGCCATCCAAGCCTAGAGATACTGGGTGCTTGCTACTTTGGTTAATGTCTGCATCTGTGAAAGAGATCCTGGGGTAGCTGTGAAGAAGGCTGGGGGCTTGGGCTTGCTCCAGCACACATGTTCCTGTAGTAAAACCTATTGAGAAATGCTCATAGATATGCCAGAGGAATGGAGCATCCATAGCAATTTGATACAGGCAAATGGATTGGTCTGAGTGCTGCAGGCACGTGTGGGATTGGCACTACACCTTACATGGAAAAAGTTGCCCTTGGAGTTTCCTACTCTGCTGTGATCTTGGAGCAGTGTCTACCTCATAGTTAGATCATGTTCCCTGGGCCCATTCCCAGTCAAGTGTGGAAAGTGTCCAAGGAGAAAGATGCTGGCTGAGGTGCTCCCAAGGCATGCAAAGAGCCTGCAGGTTGGATTCAGGTAGAGCTTGTAACCTCAGGCTCCCACTGTGGTTAACTGCCTGTAGGAGTGCTCATGAAGAGAGGAGGCAGAGAAGTGAGTGACAGCAGGACTCCCTGGTAACCAAGCAGGCAGTAAAGAAGGGATATATTCCAGAGTCAGTAGAATCTCCTTTGACTTTCCTAATTGCATTAATTTTAAAACTTTTGCTTCCTTTTTTTTTTTTTTCTTCTGTGTTTATGCAACTGTGGAAAATAATCAATATAGTCAAAGTTAAAATACAGTATTGGACCATGAGCACTGTGTAGCAGACATACGCATAGTTATGTGGCCAGTTTAGCATCATAATCTTTTGCCTTTTGCATTTCATGTATTTGCAGCACTTTCCTTACAGGTCTCTCACTTTCAGCCATGGGGCTTGTCCGTGCTTTACCTGCAAATCTACAATGCTCTTTTGTGCTCCCTGAAATCTAAGTGGTACTTTCAAGTCATAGCTTTCAAGCCAGACTCTAAAATAGGCAAAGGTCTGTTGCCACTGTGTGAGTTTAAATTCACATGCTAACCTAAGCTTTGTGACTGTGACCAAATATAATTAAATTCTGGACCACAATATTCTCTGAACTCAGAGGCAGTGAAATCTGAAGGTTTTAATTCTTCTCTTGCTATTTAAGTAGTCATCACAGTGCATCTTGTAAAGTTGGCTGCTGTTTTTACATATACCCAAAGGCAAAATCAAGCCTTTCATAGTTAATTAAATTCATTTAGAGGCTTTTTAATACAAGTAATATATGCAGCTTCTTTATACTACAAAATGAAAAGAATGCATTTTGCTGATCTCTGGGTGGGTCTCTGCTAATTAGGCTTTACCCACTTGATTGGGTTGTGTGGTTTTTTCCCCCCTTTAATCTTTTTTAATGTCAGGTTCTATTTTGAGATTATTTTTGGTCTCACTTATATTGCGTGTGATATCTTCACAGAAACTCAGAATTACATTTCTTACCCTACACTTTATTTCCCTCCACTTATTAAGCAGCCTTTTTCATGGTCTTTGAAAGGAGATCAGTATGTTCTTTTCATTTGTATAAATACTGGTTCATCAGCCTTAGTGAGAAAATTAGTATAGCTCTGCAAGTAGTATTTGGGTAAATTGCTGTCTGAAACCATTGCTTTTCAGTAGCATAACTGAAGTTAGGCTCGTCATTCCAGCTTTAAGAAGCAACAGCAGAACTATCTGAGAAGTCATCATCTTATACCAGTATTTTCATTGGACTGCTAGGTAGAAGTAAAACATTCCTTAAAATAAAGCAACTTTTCCTTAGCTGCCCAAGGGAGGATTCAGGACCCTACCTTAGATAAGTAGATTTCAAATTTTGACTGGTGATGTTTGCTTTCCTCACCAAAACGACAGCTTTTGGCTCAGAAAAACAAGCTAAAGTATAGTCTAGGTAATTTAGTCTAAATAAAGTCTAGGTAATATTTACCTATGCAGCGCAATAGGCCCTGGAAAGAAGCTTTGAAATATGAAAGCAGGTAGATTGTTTTGAGGGTTTAATTACCAACTTTCTTTTTTTTTTTTTTTTTTTTGTGTGTGTGTGTGTTAATTGAAATTTCAATTCACTTTTGTGCATCCCAATAGGCATGGAAAGTTCTTGCCTTTTAAAACACAAACTTGCCAATGTTATAAAATGTAACACAGGTTCCTTTGCTAAGTCAGATAACTGCAGAACTGGTTTACTCTGCTACCCTAAGTCTATGTAAACAAACATTTCTTTGTATGACTGGTTTGCCAAATTCATCTTTTTAGAACTTGATTCCTTCATATGCATGAAGGGTGATCCACTCTTTGTCCTGCTGTAGTGCAGGGTAAAAAGCTAAACATCCTCTTATCCCATTTTCGCTGATGGAGAGCTTGTGTGAAAACCTGGGGCCATAGACTGCAACAAGAGTCCTCCCTGGCTACATTCAACCAACAAAGCTTGTTTCTCAAAATGTAGTAATAAGCCTATTGTAGATCCCCCCCCCACTGCCATCAATGCTCCTTGTAATTTTTCTACAGATATTTTTCCCACTAGAACTTTCTATGGGATAATGCCATGATCCATCTTGGAATTTCACCAGATTATAGCATCATTGCT